TTCCTGCAACCTGAAACTGAATATGTCAAGCAATCAGCCGACATTGAGGAGCCAAGGGATGACCAAGAATGGGTACCAGGGACAAAGGAATACCCAGAAGTATCCCTGCAAGCCTTGACCAGTCTTGCTTCTTCTCAAACGATGCGAGTAATGGACTGATACAGGGGCGCCATGTATCGGTTCTGATAGACAGTGGCAACACCCTCAATTTCATCACCCAAACCTTGGTCAGGCAACTAGGGGTTCCAGTCCAACCATGTGCAGCCTTTCAGGTGCACGTAGCTAATGGGAGCAACCTGGTATGTGACAGTGCGTGCACAGAATTAAAGATAAGGATACAAGGACATGAGTTCGAGGTGGATCTACACCCCTTGGAAGTCAGTGGAGCAGATGTCGTTCTCGGAGTCCAATGGTTAAGGCAACTAGGACCGGTGATATGTGATTGGGCCCGCCTCACCATGGATTTCCAAATGGGCAGCTCACAGGTACATATTCAAGGGCAACGATCTAAGGGCCCAGAACCTATCAGCCTCGCCTCCCTAAGGAAGCAAGCAGCAGACCCAGCCCACAGCATTTTAATGCAGATAGACTCCCACAAGAACGGCCCCATTCTAGCCCAAGAAAGCAGATCCAAAGAGCTACTTCAGAAGTTCTCAGGGATCTTCCAAGAACCTAAGGAACAGATTTCAGGTGGATACGCAAAGGGAATCACATCGAACCAGAGGCATCGGNACCAGGTCCAATCCAATCTAATAAATATTTTGGACCGGATTGGTCCAATCCAATATGTCTTGTTGGTCCGTCCAATCCGTCCAAATAGATTTTAGACTGGATGGGGTCCAATCCAAAACCAGTTCATTGACACCCTTACTCAACCCTAGGGCTACTCATTCCTCTCCTTGGAAAGCTATCCACGATATTTTTCCTTACCTTCTTCCATTTTTCAGGTTTAATGCTTGTGTAAGGAAAAAAATGCTCTTTTGGGGAAGATGTTTGGTTTGGAGATACTTTGTTTAAGGATAGATTCTTGTCTCTACATTTATCAAAAAAAAAAAAAAAAAAAGATTCTTGTCTCTATATTCCCTTTCCCTAAACAAAGGAAAAGTAACCTCTTCTATCTATGGAAATGGAAATTCTTGGGGTTTGGGGTTAAAGAGAGGTTTAAGGGAATTTAAAATGTGGAAGGTGGATAAACTTATTTCTCTTCTAAGTACAATGTTTTTGGATCAATCCTATTTGGATAGCAGAATTTGGTCAGCTTTCCCTCTGGTATTTTCACTTGTTCTTCTTTCTAAAGGATTCTTCTTCATTCTTCTAACCTCATAGGAGTCTTTCAAATGAAAGAAGTTTGGTGCAGCCTGGTACCACTGAAAATCAGGGCTTTTTACTATGAGGTGGTGCTCCAAAAAATCAACACCTTGGATATGCTTCAAAAAAGAAGGCCAAATTGCTGCCTTTCACCTCATGTCCACAGCCTTTGCTTTAAGTTTGGTGAGACAGTGTCACACATATTAATCTCCTATCCTTTTGTGCCTTTTATTTGGTCCTGGTTCCCTTCCCATTTTGGTTGCAAGGGGGACCCCTCCCTCAGATGTGGTAGTTCTTTTTGACCCTAGTTTCTTTAGGCAATCAAAGAAACGGGGAAGAATTACGTGGAGAGCAACAAGAGCAATAGTTATTTGGTCAGTTTGGGACGAGAGGAGTAACAAAATTTTTCAAGATCTTGGAAAAATCTAAGGAAATCATTGACTCCATAACCATAAAGGTTATTCATTGACTGAAACCGATTGAACTTTTCAAAGATTTCTCAGTTGATGAGTTACTTGGAAGGTGGAGTGTAGTGGCCAGTTTGCTTCTTTGAAGAATGTTACTCAGGAAACTTGGTCCTCTTCAGCACAACTGTTGAGACACAAATAAAGGGAATATAAGTGTACAAGAAAAGGCCACGTCAGCCTTTAAAGAATATAACTAACAGCCAACCACTAGAACAAACTAAATAACAAACTAGACAAGTGGACTGGACAAGTGGAGAGGTTGGTACAACAGAATTAACAGCCAACCACTAGAACAAACTAAATAACAAACTAGACAAGTGGACTGGACAAGTGGAGAGGCTGGTATAACAGAATTGTAACAGCAGTGTAACAGCAGTGTATAAATAACAGCAGTGTTATAACAGAATCGATTATTGAATTGGGAATACAACCTCTCTTCCTTTCCATCTCTCTCTCTCTCTCTCTCTCATTCTGGAGGCAGGCTCCCTCGAAAGAGTCCCTGAGTTAGGCAGTTCCTAACAACAACAAAGGGTGAAGTTGAACTTTGATGGAAGTTCTACCGGTCAACTAGGTCCCTCTGGATTTGGGGGAGTTTTCAAAGATGGAGAAGCAGATTGCTAGCTCTATATTCAGGACCATTAGGAGTGGGTGACACACCAAGAGAAGAAATGTTGACCCAATTTCAAGGTCTAAGGTTGGCCAAGCAGTTGGGGCTCCACCAAATTGAGGTGGAAGAGATTCTAAGCTGGTAATAGGTTGGTTGCAAACAAATAGTCTGGGGATCTGAACTTATAGCTTATAGATAGTTTGTGAGGGAAATCTACTGCTTAGCAAGGGAGATTGGGGTATCTTTTAAGTGGATTAGAAGATCAGTAAATGGATTAGCCGACACTTTGGCAAAGCAAGGAACCTCTAAGGAGCATTTGTTTTGGGCTGTTCTGCAATTTTGTATTAAAGTATGGAGTCAACACATATTTCTGGGTGGTTGACAATTGTATTCTATATCTCTTCAATTAATGCAAGTAACCGTTCCCCATTGGGGGGAAAAAACTTTACACTATGTGTGTGTATGCACAAACTCTATAAGATCAATGTTGAAAAGATAAGCAGGAACTGACTGACATACCTCACTTTTTGAGATGGAAGAGCTTAATTTCCATTTTTGAACCGCTAACAATGATCCAAAAGTCTTCAAGCTAGAAATAATTCACCAGCCTGACTGACTAGACAGAAAGCACCAATAGGTTAATCTCTAGGTTCAACCACACTTTTAACATCCATGTCAGAGACATTGCCTATTGTTGGAATGAGGCCCTGTACAATAAGATTCTTCACATCTGAAGATGTTACAACATCTTCAGACAACTTGTGCAGAGCACTGATGCAAAGTGGATAGTCCTTGTCTAACGGACTAGGAAACTTCTCATTTGTAACCATGTCCTTTAAAACCTCAAGAGCCAATACTGAGTTTCCTTTGGAGACAAAATCATTTATTAATGCTAGATAGACAAATCTATCAGGTTTCATTTCCTTCTCTTTCATCTCATGGAAAAAGACTACAGCTATATCGGCCTTATTACACTTGATAAGACCATGGATGAGAGCTGTGTAAGCAATCTTGTTTGGAGAGCACCCCTTCTTTACCATTTCATTCCAAAGTATGAGAGCATCATTTGGTCTTCCAGCATTGCACAACCCATCTATCAAAGTTGAGTAAGTAACCACAGTCGGCTCCCTTGCTTTCTCAACCATTTTAGAAAGGCAAAGGATGGCTTGGTCAATCTCATGTGTCTTACACCAACCATCGATTAATATGTTGTATGTAACTACTGAGGGCACAACTCCCTTCTCTAACATCTCATTCAGAACGTCCTGGGCCTCTGATACTCTCCTAGCTTTGCAAAGCCCATTCATTAAAATGTTATAAGCAATTACATCAGGACAATACCCACGTCCACAAATGTCCCTGAATAATTTAGTAGCTTTATCCACTCCTTGAATCTTAAAAAACCCATCCATAACTATTGAGTAAGCAATTATTTCAGGCAAGAAGCCTTCTTGAACCATGTTATTTAGAAAATCACTCGCTTCAATTACCTTGCCATGTATACATAGTTGTTTCACTAACAAGGAATAGTATTTTATCCATGGTTCATGTCCATTTTCCCGCATCTCCCTAACCAAGTCAATGGCTCTAGAAACATCTTCCCTTCTACAAAAGCATCCAAATATAGAGTTGTGTGTAAATTGGGTCGGCTTGAACCCAGATTTCTTCATCTCCTTCAGAAGCTCAAAACCTTCATCTACCCTATTTGCATTGCACAGCTCATTGATCAAATTATTATATAACAAGACATTTCCTTTCCATCCCATTCGAATCATGTCCCAAAATAGTCTTAGGGCTGAATCTAACTGCCCCATGTTGCAAAAACCATCAATAACAATGCTAAAAGAAGTACAGTCCGGGCTGACTATTTTCTTAATGCTGACTAGGTCATTGACAGCTTCACTGACACTTTCTGCTCCCATCATGACCCGTAGAAGCAAATAAGCTTTATCTACCAAACCATGATTAACAAGCCCATCTAATAAGGTGTTGTATAGCAAAATGAGAGCTTTGGCATCCAAAGCTTGCTCCCCTTCCTCAAGTAATATTTTCGTTGAAGCCAGATCTCCTTCTCCACATAAAGATGAAATAAGCTTTGAAATTATGCTAACATCAGGAAGAATTCCAGAATCTTTCATCTCCATATACAAGTTTAAAGCCTTTCTAAGCTCTTTTTTCTGACAAAGCCCCCTGATTAGCACATCATAAAGTGGGAGATCCGGCTTAAAACCCAATTTCCGCATTTTATCAAACAGGTGCAGGGCCTTCTCTACTCTCGACTCTCTCACAAATCCATGAATCAACACACATAATGTTTTCTCGTTCAGGCTAATATTGAGATCTTCCATTCTCTCAATCAACTCCATAGCCTTATCTACTTCACCCCACTTGCTGAACGATATCATCAAGATAGTAAAGATATGCCCATCTATCCACCCTCGATCACGGATCTGATTGAAAACATCCAGAACCTTTTCAAACTTCCCAGCATTGCAGTACACCCGCAAAACCGGGGTTAGTGTGAACTTATCTGGACCAAATCCTGAATTCTGCATCTCCCTCAACCTCTTTTCAACCAAATCAACAGAAGTGGATTTAGAAAGAGCCTCCAGCAGACAATTATATGTGTAACTATTCGGAAAACAAAGACCCATCATCTTGACCTGATCAAAAATGTAGTTAGCTTCGTCTACCAATCCCTGGCTACCCAAACACCGGATTAAGAACCCAAGTGCCCCCGGAGTCATAGGACAGCGGGAATTAACCATATCCCTCGCTAGGATTTTCAATTTGGCAGTCTGTTTGGCCCGAGATAGGATTGAAGCCATAGCATTGTATGTGTAACAGTTGTGTCTGTACCCATCTTGGTCTGCAGCCCATGAGAAGAACTCGTACGCAATTCTCCAACTCTTTAGACCTTTCAAGACGGATTCTACGGTCTCTGTGTTTAATTTTGTTCCGAGGGTTGTCAACTCTTCACTGGTCCGGAGAAGCGGCTGGTTGGTGAAAATAGCAGTAAGTTCTTCTACAACTGTAGTAGAGTCGGAATGAATAGAAACAGCATCTTCAGAAGAATGGTACGGTCTACTGAATTCGGTATAAATGTTCGATTCGGGAAAGAAGGGAGAATGTTCATTGATAGATATTTTCTTTTTATGAACGAAAGACGGAATCAGATGGCAAGGGTTCAAGGTTTTAGGAGGAAATAGCTTACTGGTGTTTATGGTTCTCCCTAGTTTTGATGCCATGGTAACTGAGAAGAGGAGTTCAGAATGATATGTTATGGAGATAGAATAGCTTGCGACAAAATTTTCTCTTTTGGCTGCGTTTGTTGCGGGGCGAATTTTATTTGCACCGCTACAAATGCATGGCGGTTCTTTTTTTTTGGGGGGGGGGGGGAAATTGTTTAAAATTTAGCATGAATTTTCAGTATTTCTATTAAATTCATCACAATTTTTTAAAATGTTTAAAACTCACCACATGCTTCTTAACAAAACTCACCTTTGGTTAGTGCACCCTTAATGCTTCTTAACAAAGGTGTCCATGTCAGCATAAATAACAATTTTTATAACCAAATTACCCTTGAATGGTGAGTTACAGGAAAAATGGTCTTTTTCAATTTTCAATTTTCTTGTTTTTTCGCTTTTTTAGTATTTTGTTATAATTTCCAATGTTTTTTTTCTAATTTTTGTTTCTTTTACATTTTTCTATTTTCAACAATCTATAATTTTTCTTGTATTTTTTGTTATTTGCAACTTCTGTGTTTTTCTATGATTTTTGGTGTTTTTTCTACAATTTTTATTTTCTGGTTTTGTTTTTCAATTTCTAAAGTTTTGTAGTTTGAAAATGTTTTTATTTTGTTTGCAATTTTTATAATTTTTTATATTTTTTGTAATTTCTATGTTTTTATGTATTTTATATTTGAAAATATTTTTTGAACTTTTTCCTTTTTTCATGGCTAAATATTAAAATGGTAATATATTAACACCATTTAATTTATTTTGTATATATTTTTATTTTTTTATAAAGGTTAAAATGGTAATATATTAACACCCGTTAGTCTATTTAACGTCAAGTTAGTGACATGGTGGGTTTTAGGCATTTTGAAAAGTTGTGGTGAGTATAAGAAATGTTGAAAACTCATTGTGAGTTTTAGACAATTTCCCCCTTTTTTTGTATGATAAGTGAGAAGTAAAGTAGGAATTCAAACCCACCTTATCCACCTTATATGAAAGATGTTGCCCAATTATAGGGGTGAATCAGGTTTTAAAGGATTTTCTCCCAATTAAAACCTTCTAAAACTTTAAATTAGTAATTGTTGCATTTTTTCATTATCAATATATTTTTAGTAATTGTATATTTTTGCTATAAATTTTCAATAACTATTGTTATTTATCAGAGATGAGCTATTGATTTAGCTGAAATTATGAGTGTTCATGAATTGGTTTGGTTCGGTTGTAGGTTGTTTGGCCAACCAAATTGACCTGATCAACTTGGGGAGTTGGTCAGTTGAAACGACTGACCATTTGTGAAAACCAACCCACTTATATTGATTTGGTGAATCGATTCAAAAGTTTCAATAAATAGCATCTTCCTCTATTTTCAAAGAGAAGTGGATCCACTCCTAAAAAGAGTTAAAGTTGTTAGCATCTTAGAACGTGAGAGTGGATAGTAAGACGTGTGGCATCTAATAGAGGCAACATTTAAAAAAAGTAAATACTCTTTGGTTTAGACATGTTTCCACCCACAAACCCACATCCATTTGTAATTGAATCTTACTAAAATACAAAAGATAAATACTCTTATTGTCATTCAAAAAGTAAATACTCAATAATTGAATACTAATTATTATTAAGAATATAAGAAAAATGATCATCATTATTACTAATTAAAAATAATATTAACCTTTAATTAAAAATAATCATCATCAAAACTGTGAAATTCCTGTCCCATCCGATGAAAAATGGTGTAAAAATAAAAATGCATTTAGATTAAACCCCATTTATTGGTGGCTAGCTGCTACTTCTCATTTGGGCAATGGGGAGAGCAGATTAATTGATATCTCATATTGGTAGTTGGTGGGAAGATTTGAAACATAAGACCTAATATAGTTTTTTTCTGGAAAGAAATGTTTGGAAAAAAAACATGGTTTTTTAAAAATGAACCGATGACCAAACCCGTTAGGGGTTCGGTTATCGATTTGAACGGTCTGACTATTCGATACGAATGGTCGGCCGGTTCTGACAGAAAAATAAAAAAATTTTAAAAAATATTAAAAAATTAGAAAATGATCAAAACCGTTCGAACAGTTAACCAGCTGGTTCAACGGTTTTCTGACCAAAATCAACAATTTTGGGGGAAAATCGGTTTTGGAGGAAAATTGACCGATTCCCGATTTTTCCAGTCCAACCGTCTGGTCCGATTCGATTTTTGAAAACTGTGGAAAAAACACAAAGCTCAAACTTGCAATTAATCATGTAGTCATTCAAGTAGTTATTTGTTGAAGTTCATTTGGTAGCTTCTTGAGACTAGCTTAACTAATATTATTTATAGTAGCTAATACTATTTATAGTAATATTATTTTATTTATATAAAAAACAAAAAAGGTAAAAATCAAAATGATACATACTTGTGGTTGCTATATATTTAGTATATGGTCATTCCCTAAACAAAATATAATAACTCTCTTAAATGACTTAAAAATTTGAAAATTTGAAATAGTTCATATTATTGGCCTTGTACATAGTATGAGGGTCATGCATAGTATATATAGTCTTTAGGCAACAGTCCCCTACCATTCAGACACGTGAAAAACTCAATTTTCTGGAAAAAGCATCTGAGAAGTGGGTTGTTCAAATTTTCAAAGATAAAACCAATTCCTCAGCATGTGGTAATGTATAACAGGTGTCACACATTCACCAACAGTTCTTTACAAATACGTGAGAAGTGGGAAGCTCCTATTCTCAATCCATTCCCCAAAAATGTAGAAAATGCAAAAGCGGTGATCTACAAACAATTCTGCCTACAATATTCTATCAATCTCAATTAATCATTAGCCCTCTATGTATCATAACTAAAGAAAACTATCCATATTCTAATCCAATCTCATAACAAAAGGAAAAATTGTAGACAAAGGTGATTGATTTACAGGCACGGACTGGCATAGAGAGAAAACGAAGACGCTTGGAGGCTTATACCACTAAAGAGGGCAATTACCATCACACCACACTGGATATAGTGAAGTTCCATGATCCATGATCAAGACAAAGATCATGGCTACCAGCCCAAGAAAAAAGGGCATAGATAGGGGAAAACAATTTTATTGTCAACGGTGGAGGCAGTGATAGTGGGAGATTCTCAGGAGATTGATGGTTATGATGGGTTTGGCTTGATGTTGTTGCATGAAGCTAATCTCTCTCTCTGTTATAAAAATATGATACCATATTCAATTAAGATTACATTTTTCAAAAAAACACACACACAATATGTGCCATATGCTTCTTATCAATGGTTTGCTTTAGACTTTTGTTCCTATTAAGCACTTCAACTTCTAATAATAATTTAATGTAGTGGAGTTTCATCTTTCATCTTATTCAAACAACTAAGTTTTGTATTTTGATTGTAAGGTGAACCAAGTGGAACCAAGAATTTGACTCTAGTGGAGATTGCTTAGATTGGTTTCCTTATTACATGTTGTTTAAATATTGAAGATTAAAAGAAAAAATGACTATGACAACCCACCATTATAACAACCCATTATAATATGTTAATTAATTATGTTACTAACTTAATAAATAAAAAAAATTAATACTAATTAATGCAAATTTAATAAAAAAATTAAAAATTCATAAAAGATATTAGTTTTAACATTATTTTTTAATAAAAATAATAATTAATAAGTTTTATTTCCAAAAATTAATAAATTTATAATAATTAATATCCATTTAGAAAGTTATTGCAAATATGTCAGACAAATATGAATCAAAATCAATGATTTCATTGGACTCCTTCAACTTTCTGTACTCTTCATTTGGAATTCCCTGCAACACCTTCTTCAGATTGGAATATCCGACACCTCGACCTTGACGTTAAACGCTTCCCACCGTAATACATCGTTGAATGGCAAAGCGTAATTATCCGATATGATGACTAGCACGCACTCGGCGTAGATGGCCTCGACGATTCTTGGGCCAGCAACCTCATTCCCACTCGGGCACAAGCAGAACTTCGACTGGAGCATGAACGTATGATAGTCAACCTCCTTTGGTAGGTATTCATATACTTGGATGTATGGTTTTCAAAATCGATCGGACGGTCAGATCGGAAAAACCGGGAATCGATTAGGTGATCAGTTCCGTTTTTTTTTCAAAATCAAGATTTCTCAAAAACTGTTGATTTTGATCAACAAACCGCTGACTTGGGTGATTAACCGTTTGAATTGTTCAAGCGATTTTGCTCGTTCTTTTATTTATTTATTTTTTTTGTCAGAATGGGATTGGACTACTCAACCCAGTAACTGGACCCCTGACCGGTTTGGTCTCCAGGTTGGTTTTAGAAACCATGCTTGGATGTATGCATCTTGGCTCTTCCACTGTTGGAGGAGTATAGGTGATATGGGTTCATGGAGACCGCCGGCAAAAAATGCAAGATATGGTCTTGAGGTGTCCGTCTGGTTGGGGTGAGAAGAGCTTGGGCGAGATGTTACCGTCGTAGAGGTTAATCTCTAGGAGGCTGACATCCTTCTCAGGGACAAACCCTTCAGAGGCATTGGCATTGCACAAGACCCGAATGGATGTGTTGTAGAGAAAAGGGTTGCCTTTGGAGACACGAGGACCCTGCGTAGACACAAACTATATTAAGCATGGTGTCGCGCAAAACTCACAAAAATTTTAATGGCATCCAAAAAAATGAAAGAAAAATAGAGATAAAGAGAAGTAAATAGAGAGGATACAAAAATTTATGTGGTTTATAGCCTGTCAGGAATAGAAGTCTACTATGAAAACAACAATGGAGAAGAATACAAAGTTGTGTGTTCGAGTGGTACCTTAACTGGCCAAAGTTGCCATGTGGTCGCTTCTATGGCCAACTTCGTCTTTGGGCCATTGAAGTGTTCGTCCAAGCAGCTATGCCACCGAAGACTCTATAAGGAAGCAGAGTCCTATGCGGATAAGGAGATGCATCCCCACCAGGGAAGGCGGAGTCTCTCAAGAACTTTGGTGGGTGGCCTTATCCCGATAACCCTGCAAAGAACCTGTTTGACTACAATACAGACACTTATCTATTTAAAGGCATC